CTTGCACGACCACGGAGTCTTCCCCTTGTCCTGCGCAATCGCCTCTCCTGAGCACCACAGGCCGAGGGCGCACAGCAGCAGGCCCACGAGCATCAGCAGCACGTTGGCGGAAAACTGGAGCGTCTTCTTGGGGGTGCTGAACCACTGGCCGTAGTTCATCCAGAGCCACAGCGAGCCGGGGATGCCGTACGTGAACCAGCTGGCAAACAGCGCGCACACCAGGCCGAGCAGGTTGCTGAAGACGGGGATCGACTGGGCGATGACCCAGGCAATGACCCAGATGGCGGCCGTGATGCCGAGCCAGCCGATGAGGCCGACCGTGGTGCGCTTGACCAGGTGCTTGGTGCCGGCGAAAACGCGCACAAAGATGTACTTGGCGGCGACGTGGCCGTAGATGACGCCCGCGATGACGATGGTCGGGATGGCGATGCCCCAGATGACCTTCCTGACGACGTGGGAGCCGGCGGCCGAGAGGGCGGGCGAGGGCACGTCCTGGCCGACGTAGACGTAGATAACGACCGAGACGACGATGTACAGGATGGTGTCGCACGTCTGCAGCAGCATCAGGGCCTTGGGCCAGTCGTTGGGCACCTTGAGCTCGGACATGACGCTGAAGAAGCACGAGTGGCCGCTGAAGGCGACGGCGATGTTGGTGACGGACAGGAAGGCGGACGTGAAGCCGATGGTGCGCGATACCTCGATGCTGGTGGTGCCGATGGGCTTCTCGATGCCGACGTCGATCATGGTGATCAGGACGGCGGTAAAGATGGACGCGAACGAGGCGAACGAGTAGTAGCCGGCCGCTCGCAGGGTGCGGGGCGTGTTGAGCACCCAAAAGACTGCCAGGCCGACGACACCCCACACGATGGTGCACGTGGAGCTGTCGGTCAGGGTGTTGAGGCAGATGGTCCAGGTCAGGAGATGGCTGCCCATGACAAAGATCTGGAAGAGAGTCTGCGCCCAGCCAAAGATCTCCTGGAAAAGCTTGCCCATGCCGATGGACCTGCCCATGACTTCGCCAGCGTCGCCAAAGCTTTGAACCCAGGGGTGCGCTTTCCGGAACTCGCCCATGACGAGGCCCGAGTACGTCGACAAGACGCCCATGAAAACCAGGAGAACGATGCCGGGAGCCAGTCCAAGGTTTGCCACGACGGCAGGGAGCGAGAGGATACCCAGGGACACGGTCTCAGCAATCATGACCACACCGGCTTGCCTGCAAAGTAAAACGTCAGCGTCCAATTCGTCCTCCGGTGGGACTACTTTGGTGGGCAAACATACCACCAGTTGAGGGTGTGATAGTTGATCTCCATGGAGCCATCCTTCTCGTCCTCGTCTGGGGCATACACAACAGGAGCCGGTTCGATGCTGCCGGTCTCGAGGTTGTTCTGCGAGTCGTCTCTCTTCTTCTCGGAAAAGGCATCTGGAGCAACTCCAGCGATCTGGGCGTTGGACGCCATCGGGACGGGTAGCGAGTGGGTCTCGCGAAATGAAAGTTATGGGGATTTGAGAGTTTTGTGCAGGTCAAATCCCAAAGCCAACGGGGGGGCTTGTGGCCTAGTCCGGGTGCGCGATGCCACGCCGGGCGCTAACAAGCCAAGCTTTTAGGGGCTGAAAAGGAGGGTGTTGGAAGTTGTCGATATCGAACTGGGAACAAAAACCTGGGGAAATCGACGCCCTGGGAGCTCAGCTTTTAAAGGAACTGGTTCGTCTCAAATCGCCCAGGAACGAACCACGGCAGTTTTTCGCCGCGATCGTCCGCGATCGGAGAAATGGACATGGTGACAGGGTCCAACCAGGAAGATCAACACGAGTCGAACATGCTGAGCTCGTGGACCTCGTGGAGTTCGCGGCGCGGTCCCGTCTGGGGTACATTGACGGTTGAGCTGTGTTTGCTCAGTTCGGTCTCGCCCGGAATGTGCACGATTGCCACTTGCCTCACCGAGGATGGAGCCACTGGTGGATCTTTTACGAGACTGGAACCCGGCCAGACCCTCGGGGACGCCCCGTCCTGGCCGGGGCTCACCGATGACCGGCTAACCACGGTCGAATCCACTCTGAGCTGTCTCTCATTGAGTAATCGCGTCTCCAGCAGCTCCCAAGACCCCATTGAAGGTTGCGATGGTGGCGGAGTCGATGTTCCGGTAATGCCGCAGTTGGGCCCTGAGAAACAACACAACACGGATCGCAACAATTGAGAGCTTGGAACATTGTCAGAGTCGCAGTTCAGTGCTTGCCTGTTGCATGAAATCCAATAATCCGTTAAGGGTATAACCCTGGTGTACGAGTGTGCAGTCAAAGTCCCTTGAAAAATGCGATGTCCACAAGAACCAATTGAGATTGTAAAACCATTCCATGACTCGTCGACGTCACCGAGGCCCACATCAGCCAAGACTCCAAGACAACCTCCACCAGTTTCGCATGAGTCTCCATAAACTCCCTCATATGTTGATCCCTTGAGTCTTGGAAAGTCAACGTGTTACCGTAGCTCGAGCGGTAGCTCGCCTCAGCTCGCGTAGGTTTCCCCAGACACTTTACCGTCACCTTCCATTTCCAGACAAACACGATTGGTCACAAAGTGGGTAATGCAAGGAACCGCATGCAGGGAGTGGCGCCGCCTTGTGCCGCAGCTGAAGCATCCTGGTACTCCCTCCACTTGACCCCCTAATTTAGCTGTTCTCCGTTCTGTTGACCCAGCTTCCCCAGAGTTTCCCAACTACCGACAAGGCATCAAAGAGTCTCGCCCTTTAACCTTAACCCCAGAGTTCGAGATGACAGGTTCCACACGCCCTTTCACAAGGGAAAGAGAGAGTAGAGGTCTAGATTCAGGTGGTTGCTTTAGAGATCTAGATCGTTCCGTTGCTTGGGTTGCACCGGGACCCGGCACTTGGACCCCGCCGACGCGCCGGTTGTGCTAGTATTACGCCGTGCACACCTTCCAGATTGGCCTGACCGCCCGGTTGGGACGGCGCGGGGGAAGAGTTGGGGTAAGAGCCCACTTATTCTGTGCTGGGATGGGATGTTGGCGCTCCCTTCGCCCGCGCAAAATGCGCCAGGGGTTGACCTGTGCAGTGTGACAGCAGGATACGTCACTCGTTGCGGTTAGGGGCTGTCCGAGTCGTTTGTTGATCCATGGGGAATTCGTTGTTAGGTAAGATGGTTGATCCGAGACAAACCGAGACGATGTACATACGAGAGCTCAGTAACGCGGCATCAAGGTCTCCCCGAGCGTGCAGGGTGAGGAAACGAGGAAATCCAATGTTCAAGCGTAAACCTTCTGAATTGGGACAACAGTGCGCACGTCAATGGCAACCTCGAGCAACGCGGTCTCAAGCTCAGCATCAAGCGACCGATCATACCACAAACCCGACTGGGCAAACCCACTTTTGCCTCGGATGCGTTTTGAGCGGAGCCATACGATTGAACAAGCCGGACATGCCGTCCTTTGTCCTCGGACTTCTTCGAGCTCAGAAGCCTCTCCCGCCGTCTTTTGAGACTTGATCACTTGTCCCCTTTTCCTCTCGTCCACAGTGCTGAGTCTGACCAAGGCAGCGCCTCGATGTACAACAACATAATGGCCGCGATGCCGTCGCTATTGTCGCGGCAACCCAGGATTCCGGCTGGCACATGGTTTCGCAGTCCTCAGAAGCGGCTGGGGAGCTGGTCTCCATAATAGGTTCCAAAAGACAAGACCCGAGTCGGTCCGAAGTGCTGGGCTGAGTCTTGGCAAAAAGTTCCGAGACCGTCGATGGCATAGATGGCGATCACGAACGGACGGCAGGCACACAATATCTTGGCCTCATTAAACGCTTTCTGGCACTTACTCTACTGGTAACTGGACCGCCGCGTCGAGAATGCACAGACTTGATAGACCTGGCGATGTACGAGGCGTGCTCTGCAAGACTGAACAACATGGCGAGATCATGGTCTGCCCATTGGGTACCCTATCTCTCAGCTTTTGTTGCGCGGGTTGGAAGCAGAAAATGGAGTGTGAAAGGGTCAAACTGACTTGGGCAAGGCCTATCTAGTTTCCGATAGCGAGTCCGTGTTCTCAGCCACGAGAGCGAGATACACCTCCACCATCGGCGCCACCTCCATCAGGAGCCTGAGCTGCGCCATCGGACTGCCATGACCGTACGTATTAGCAGCCTCCGCCAAGTTGGTGTCTGGGACAGTCCGTCATTCCCCTAACTTTTGCCCGTCTTACCCCTGAGTGGAAGCACGGCTGCCCAAGGTCCACACTGGTGTCGAGGATTGCCACCTGAACGGGTCCGGGTGGGCTGACACCCCGTGTCTGAATCCGAGCGATGGCTGCCCATACCTTCTTGAAATCATTCAGCCAGTCGGCGGGTTTGGCGTGCCGACGTGTGTGACTGATTCTTCGACAAGGCGAATGCGGTTTGCAAATCTTCAGGGAGGCACGCCCGGGCAGCTGCTTGACGCCCCTCGTCGACGAAGGAGGTGAAGGCTTCCGTCCCGAGGAGTTCAAACAAGGTTGCAGTATTCCGTGGGAGGTGTTAGTATTTGGTAGTTCTCAACGAGATCTGAAGATGGAGTTGATTTCTTATAGCACCTTCTCATCCGGGAGCTAGACGGGCGTGTTTGCCAGCACCGCCCCGAAGCATAATAGTCGAACTCGCGTTCCTAGCTGCAAGACTCAAGCCGCACTGGTAGGCATGGACAAGTGATGTTTAGCCTGTTCCCGACGCCTGGAGAAAACTAATCCCGCCTGTCGTCACGTTCCTGCGGGCTGCGAAGGCAACGGGTCATCGATCATTCTGTAAGTTTTGTCATGGTTCTTGTGCGACTCAGGTGCGGCGGCCAGAACAAACATTCAAAACATCGACTGGCAACTTGAAGTCATATTATGTTGCGGATCCGACGAAAAGTGATCTTGCATGCATGGAGGGTGTCGTAGAGAAGAGAACCACAGATCGAAAAGGAATTGTGAGTCAAAGGAAAAAGAAACCTGCGGATGATTGCATCCTTAATTTTGTTATGATCGATCCACCCAGGGGTCGAACCTGGAACCTCCTGATTACCGAATCGTAGTCAGACGCTCTGCCATTGAGCCAGCGGACCTGTTGAAATCGCCGGCCCCAGTTCTCGGTTCTTGTGCGCACGAGCAGGGAGTGTGGTGGAGAAAGGGGCGAATCTGTGACATGGCAACCCTAACCCACTACTAAACAGGGACCAGCCAGGGAAGAGTTCGGACTGTTGAAGCATATTAAGCGTAAACGCGCGTCGTTGATTCTCATCCAAAGGACCAGTACTTCAGCTTGGGACCTAGAGCCATTGTCCCACTCAGTGGTATGCCGGATGATGTGGTGACTGGGTCCATAGGTCCCTTTGAACCTGCCTGATGATGACTTGCACCGCTTGGCCACTCATCGCTTCTTGTCCTTCGACTGCCACGGAAGCGACCAACCAGACCCCGAGACCTTTGACGCTGCCGCTTTTGAAGCATCCTCCATCTTCTTGAAAGCGGCCTGCTGCAACACCATCCAGCGACCCTCCATCTCATCCTGGCTAATCGCCGGCTTTCCGGCCTGGATGTCTGTGTCCTTGTCGTCCTTGCCGTTGTACTCCCCATCCTTCAACCCGAGAACCTGGCAAAGAGCCTCCGCTTTGCTCAGCAGCCACTCCTCATATTTCAGCCCGTGCTTCCAATGGTCGGGCAAAACCGAGTATCCGAGATAGCCTCCCAACAAGGCGCCCGCAAAACAGGCATTGGTGTCGGCATCCCCGCCGCGCATGATCAGGTCCGTGGTGAGGTCCTCGAAAATCCGGCTCCGTTCCAGCAAACCCCCTTGACTTGCCGCCATCCTCTTGATCGCCATCCGCAACAACACCACCCCCGACCCGAGTGTCTTGTACACGTACCCAATCGCCGCCTGATCATCCAACTTCAAAGCATCCAACCCGCCCTCCGGCTTGACATGCCTCCATAGCTCCTCCAAATCCAACTCTCCCTCCCCCTCGCCCCGTCCCTCCCCCTTATACCACCCAACCGCTCTCTCGATCAACGCATCCACATCCCCCTCCCCACCCACCTCCCCCCTCACCACGGCCCTCACCAGCCCGGTCCCCACCACACACGCCAACACGCACCGCGGATCGACATGCGTCACCCTCGAGATGCGCGCGGCGACCTCGAACGCCTCCTCCACCCGCCTCCACAGGCACGCCACGCCCAGCGGGTGCGTGCGCATCAGGCTCCCGTTGGGCGCCACCCGCTTGCCCGTCCGCTCCCAGTACCCGCGCGCCACCGGCTCCGGGTCCGCCTCGAACCCGGCGCTGGCCACCACCGTGCCGACCAGGCGGCCCAGGCCGAGGGGCATGGTGTCGAGCGGGCGGAAGCCCTGCGTCACCCAGACGCGGAGGCGGGTTGCGACGTCCTGCTGCGTCGGCAGCGGCTGCTGTTGTTGTTGTTGTTGCTGCTGCTGCTCTTGGGCATCGGTGGTGCCGCCGGTCTTGGCGGTGTGCAGGAACGAGAGGAGGAGGAGCAGGGCGTGGTCGGTGTCGTCGGTCCAGTGGCCCGGTTCCTTGGGGGCGCGGTGCGAGTCGAGGGTGAAGGGGGTGGGGCCGTGGGGCGCGGGGCCGGTGAGGGTGAAGCGGCCTGAGGGGTAGGCGGCGGCGGCGGAGGCGGCGGAGAGGAATTCAGTGTAGAGGCCGATTGCGTCGCCGAGGGCGGAGCCGACGAGGACGCCTGCGACACGGTCGTGGAGGGTAAAGCGCGCCGCGTGCAGGAGGGTGCTTGTCGAGGAGACGGGGAGGGTTAGGAGGAGGGGGAGGGTGGGCGGTGAAGGTGAGCTCATTGTGGGGTGTGAGGGTGTTTGATGGAGGGTAGGTTGTTGGTGACTTGGTTTTGTGAATGAGGGTGTATTGAGACTGGGTAATTGGAAACTGCGCGTGAGAAACTAGAGGTTTAAGTCATCCGATCATTGATGCCTGGAGTTTTTGCCGCGTCACTCCGATTGTGTTAGTGTTAGATTTCAGGCAGCCGTTTGGGGTTATTTGAGAACGCGTGTTGAGTGTGAAGATGACATGGATTTCAGCAGGGACGCTCAGCCGCAGCGCCTGGTCGTTAACCCGAAGTCCTGTAAGCGCCCAATTGCGTAACGCTATTCGCGCGTGGAATGTTCCGTCACGCATGCCCGGTTGTGCCTGTTCAAAATTCAGCCAACCAACAAACTTTCTTTTCCCTCACTTCATGTCAAAGCATCTTGAGCCAGACAGCTTCACGGTCAACCGCGATACCCAGCCTGAATTGCCCATCAAACCCCGTGTGGGGTATTTCCCTTCTTTTTTAAATTTCTTTGACATGGTTACAAGGCCATCGGCCGCAACGTGCGACGTGCTCGTGATTGGCGCTGGGATTGCTGGGTGTGCCATTGCGTCGACATTTGCAAAGCAAGGATGATGTGTCATTGTGGTAGAGAGAACCCTCGATGGCCCTGAAAGGATCGTTGGGGAGCTTCTTCAGCCCGGGGGTGTCAATGCTCTGCGCAAGCTGGGCTTGGCCCAGTGCTTGGAGGGCATAGAAGCAACGCCAGTGGAAGGATATCATCTCTACTGGAAAGATGAGCAAGCCACCTTCTGGTTCTGCCCGGTCCCTAGAGACTCGATATCCAATGGAGACAGCGAAGCGCCCACGGGACGCAGCTTTCACCACGGAAGGTTCGTCGAAAATCTGCGACGTTCCATCGTTCGCGAGCCAAACATTACGCTCGTAGAAGCAACGGCAGTGGAGCTGCTCAGAAATGAGAAAACAGGCGCAGTTACTGGAGCAGTCTGCTCCCGCCAGGGGTTACCGTTAGAGAAGGTTCGTTCATGGTCGATGAGAAGCACACATATGACTCTCTTTCACGCCCGTCTGACGCGCCACGCAGTATTTCGCATCTCTTACGGTTTTGGCTGATGGAGCCAACTCCAATTTTCGGTCGCAGTTTACTTCTCATCGGCCAAAGGCGCAGTCTAGATTCTGGGGCCTTGAGATGGTGGACACTGACCTGCCTCGTCAACGCTATGCGTACGGGGTTCTTGGGTCCGGACCGCCAGTCTTGATGTATCAAATCGGCCCTCGCGAAACGAGGATTCTCATCGACATTCCCGATGAGACACGTCGCCACCTCGAGAGCAACAGATCAGTCAAAACTTACCTACACGAACGTGTGCTCCCAAAGCTACCTCCGTCAGTACGGCCCAGCCTTGAAAAGGCTCTGGAAGAAGAGTACCTGCGCAGCGTATCTAATGCGTGGATGCCCTCGACTCGAAACTCAACGCCCGGGCTTCTGATGCTGGGGGATGCTTCCAATATGCGCCACCCTGTCACCGGCACTGGTATGACAGTCGCGCTCAAGGATGTCGTTCTCTTGGGTGAGATGCTACACCCGAGGCGCATCCCATCCCTGGACGACACGGATTCCGTCCTGAAGACATTGCGCCGCTTTCACTGGAGAAGGAAAGCTTACAGCGCATCCCTCAACATCCTGGCACAGGCTTTGTACCTACTCTTTGTTTCCGAAGGTGCATTTCCAACCCGAACTTGCGCTCCACCATCACCTCTCCGGCTGCTAATGCTCAACCCAGATCCAGCGCTCGGCATCATGCAACGCGGGTTCATCCGCTACGTCCAAGTGGGGGAGACGAACTTTACTGAGCCTGCTTGGCTCATGGGCGGAGTCGTTGATTCCCCTGTGCTCTTGTTACGCCACTTCTTCAAGATTGCCATCTACAGCATCGGTTTGCATCTGTGGCAAGCCAGCTAGTTGGGTCTGCCGGTGGCACTTTCCCAAGCGGCCTCTGTGTTCATTTCTGCCGTTATTGTCATCTGGCGGCCGATTGTTGACGAGCTGCAGCCCTAGCATGAGCGGGCGAGAGTTAACGCCTTTTACGCCAACATGGGCGGCTCTGTGCTCCAGACGCCCGACTTCCCACCCTGTCGTCCCATCCATGCCACCTCCACTCATTCCATGTGCGCGCAAGGATGAATCGGTGGTCCCGACATCACAAGGAACAAAGTCTGGGATTGCAGCAAATCGCACCATTTCGCAAAAGTGTTTGCCTTCATCCAAGCAGGCGGGATCCTGCTGCAATTAATCACCCGACGAAGCCAGCAGCTCAGTGTCACTCCTCTGGGCTTCGTGGAGAAGCCCGTATGGAACAGCTGGCAGCGTCGACTACAGCGGGTTGGATCCACCCCCCCCTGCCGAGGATCCCGAATGACTACTCACCGCCACCACCAACAGGGACAGAAGCCACCATCGTGTGGATCGTCTCGGTAGTCCACGCCGGGTTGCACGTCCTGTGCTGGTCGTTTCCGTTTCCGACTCTGATTGAGAGGATACTATGGCGGGCCAGCAGCTTGACCCTACTCGCGGTCATGGGCGTTGGTGGACTTGTACCTGTTCTGTCAACACGTCCGTGGTTTGACTTCTCGTTCAGTATGCTTTGGATTTGGGTCCGGGAGGCACGGAGGCAGACGTTTGCGAGGCAGTGGCTATTTAGTGTGATTGTGGACTCTGCTTATGTGTTGTACATTTTGGCTCGCCTCGTCATCCTGGCTGAGATCTTTGCTGCTTTTCGGAGGATGCCGGTAGATGTGTACTCTGAAGTGGACTGGACGTCCTTTTGGCCGCATGTGTCATAAGGATGTGTCCTCACTGAGCTCCGGTAGTAGATTTCTGTGTGCTCAGGGATTGATTGCACGGAACTGGGCCGGTGATGACAGGGCATCTGCACGGCTGATCCTGGGGGTGGATTTAGTAAGGTAGTACGTGGGGGAGCGCGTGCCATGATTGGTGGCTGGCATGCTTCACTCACCATGAACCAGCATGAATCATAGTGAATCGAAGCCTAGCTGCTTTCTGGTATTGGTGATGCATGAAGTCCGTATTAAAACGGGGATTATTCCCCGTATGTCGTAGAGCATTCCTGATCAAAGTGGCGATGGGGTCCGAAGATGCACCACATGGTGCCGCAGGCTGGAGCCACTCCGCCATGTAAGTTCTTGCGATCTCCCGTCCCAAAACTGCAACGAAATCACAATGAGGAACGAGATTTTGCCGAACGGATTTTCC